CCCATGTAGAGAACAGTCAGTAAGCCATTGTGTCCTTACAGTGGACTATTCCACAGAAATCCAACCTTACGCTGAAGAATAATTGGTGGGGGAGGGAAGTTCCCAATGTTAAGTAAAAAGCAGGTTTCAAAAAAATGTGGCTCAGTGGTTGAGTGTGTAACTAGGAACCAGGAGGTCATGGTTTGATTCCTGGTCAGGACACATGCCCGGGTTGTGGGCTCCATCCCCAGTGTGGGGCGTGCAGAAGGCAGCCGATCCATCATTCTCTGTCATCAGTGATGTTTCTCTCTCTCCCTCTCCCTTTCTCTCTGAAAAGAATCCTAATAAAAGAGTAATATGCAAATTCACCATCACGCCAACACAAAGATGGTGACGCCCAGAGCCACAAGATGCGGCGCCCAGTCCTCTCAGCACCGCTGAAGTCCGAACGTCCTGGGGGTGGCCGCTGAGAGCTGGGCCTGCTTGGATGTTACCGCGGCTACCCAGGAGCGGCCAAGCGGCACTGCAGACAGCAGAGACCCACACGGACTGGGCCTAAGCTGTCAGTAGGACATACCCTGAGGGCCCCACGCATTGGAGAGGGTGCAGGTCAGGCTGAGAAACCCACCCCTGCGCCTCCACCCCCACCCCCTGCACGAATTTCGTGCACTGGGCCTCTAGTAAAAATATATTTGAAAAAAACACTTGAAGTCTTTCTACAATAGAAATGTCTTTTGTGAGGTCATAGGCCAGATAGTCACTGTCATTCAACAGAGTCTTAAGTAGAAAGCCTGGAGGAAGGGCCACCATGATGGGGAGAAAGTATGTCTTGATGGCAGCCAGGGCCAGGCCAAGGGGCAACCTCCCTGAACGGTCCTCGGCCCAGGACAGTGCGGGAAGCTGACCTGGGTCCTGTCGGGAGCCTCTGTTCTGTTTCACTGAGCTCCCCTCCCCTCCCCGTCTCCTCTACCTCCCCTCCTCCTCTCCTCTACCTTAAATGTGGCCGGCACCCGACTCTGCCTCCAGTTGCACATTTCCTGTCTCCATGGGACACATGGCCCGGGAATGGCGGTGGGCAGGGAGGAGAAGGAAGGGCCCACGGGGGGATGGCAAACAGGGAGAGCGAGGAAGAGAAAGGGCAAAGCTCTCCTGAGCAGGAAACACAGCTCGCGGGGCGGGACTGGCGCTGTGACCACCTCTGCTGGTGTCCGAGAGTGCACGCTGTGACCCAGGCGCTGCCTCTGCTCGGCCTCCCTCCGCCAGTGCTGTCATCAGGGACTCCTCCCTGCCTGGTGCCCCCAGCAAAGGGCCTGGCACGGTCCCACGCTGGCCCCGAGCCAAAGGCCACAGGGCAGCCTCTGGCTCCTGGGCACCTTGCAGGATTCCCAGGGAGGAGAAGGAGGAGAGAAATGCCACCGCCCTCAGGCGCCCTCGGGAAATGAGCAGGACACGTTCTCTTGCCTTATTCCTGTGAAAAATAATAAAGTGCGTCCCTTAAGCAGTCATTGCCAAAGAGCCCTGGACAGGGGCTTGGAACTGTTCCCCGCTGCCCCAGAGCAGACGCCGCTGGTGGCCGCCTCGCCTTCTGCGTCTGAACCTCATGACCTGTCCGCTTGCTCTCTGTTGACACTGAAGGTCAAGAGACCGCTTTCCTCAGCCCCAGCGGTTCTGTCATTCCCCCGCGTGACCAGCAGGGGGCAGGCGCGCCGCCCTCCGCAGGGTATCAGGTTCCAGTATCGGGGTCCTCATCAGAAGCCTGTCTCCAAAGAGCTTCTCTTTTCAAATAACCAGAGGGTTGACTCACTTAAATAACACACATCCTCTTTCAAACTGGCCTCAGTGGATAGAATGTCGCCCCATGGAGTGAAGGGTCCCGGAGTTGATTCTGGTCAAGGGCGTGTACCTTGGTTGCGGGCTCGATCCCCAGTAGGGAGCGTGCAGGAGTCAGCTGATCAGTGTTTCTCTCTCATATATGTTTCTAACTCTCTATCCCTCTCCCTTCCTCTCTGTAAAATCAATGAAAATATATTTTTGTAAAAAATGAGACCGACTACAGGTGTTTCCCTAGCAGCCATTTCCCAGCCATCCCAGACCTGCATGGAGAATGGGTAAGACTCGGCCCAAGGCCAGCCCTGAACGTCCCAGGGGAGGCAGAGGCCCCTTTCAAACCCCTGGGAAGGGAGCCAGGGTCTCTAACTCAATGCAGAGGCTGTGACTTCCTCCCAGTTCTAAGGATGGTATGCACATCATGGCAGGCAGCGAAGGGACATTTCCTACAGAAGGCTTCCACCACTGTACACTCGCTCCGTCAGAGAGTAGAGGGAAGAATCATGGCCCACAGATCGGATTCAAAGCCCAGGGGCAATTTTCCATTGAACATTCTCGGGTCCACAGGCAATGTCTTTGGAACACAGTTTATATTGCTGATAGACTTATGCCCCAGGGGAGGGTTTTTTTTTTCAAGCACTCTGCGCTCAGAGACTTAAATATTCTTTGAGAAGAAGCTTATTTCAGCCTAGCTGGTGTGGCTCAGTGGTTGAGCATGGACCTAGGAACCAGGCGGTTACGGTTTGATTCCTGACTGGGGGCTTGATCCCAGTGGGGATGCGTAAGAATCAGCCAATCGATGATTGTCTCTCATCATCGGTATTTCTATCTCTCCCTCTCCCTTCTACTCTGAAATCAATGAAAACAAATTTTTTTAAAAGAGAATTCCTCCCTCTTAAAAAAATAATTAAGACTCAAGAGGCAGAGTGAACATCTTATGCAATGAGAATAAATAAATAGAAGTGTAGAATCACTTACAAGCTACAAGGAAGTGACTGAAGGAGATTATCCTTCCCAAAAAAGAGATTGAAAAAACCAAGATGGCGGCATAGGTAAACACCGGAGTTAGCTGCCTCGAACAACCACTTCACAAATACAACTAAAAGACGGAACGGACATCGCCCAGAACCACAGGAAGACTGGCTGAGGGGAAATTCTTCAACTAGAAGGAAAGAGAACAGCATACGAGACTCAGAGGAGGCGCAGTGCGGAAAATACAAGGGTGCGGAGTGCGCGGAGCGGGCTGGTAGCTGAGGGCGCGGTTGTCATTTTCAATCGGGAAGGAGGCTCAGGCCCTGAGCTCCAGTTCTGGGCGAGTCTCTAGGGACCCAGACTCAAACGGGAGAAGCGGGACTGTCTGGCATCGGTCAGAACGTGAGGGCATCTTTCTCTCCGAGGTTTGCAGCGGTTGCTGGGACTCTGTGAGGCAGAGCCTCTGGGGACGGGACTGAGAGCAGCCATAACTGCTCCCTCCACCCACCCTGTTGATCCCGTGTGACCCGCCCCGCCCAAGCCCTGCGCAGAGCCATTTGCCAGATAGCCTCAGCCAAAGGCTAGATTAGCACCTCCCTAGAGGACAGAAGTTTTCCCACTGCAGACACAGCTGATTCTCACAGCCAGTTGGCCTGGAGGTCAAATCCCCCTAGTATTAACTACAACAATCAAGATTTAACTACAACAAGACTGCGCACAAAGACCACTAGGGGGTGCACCAAGAAAGCATAAAAAATGCGGAGACAAAGAAACAGGACAAAACTGTCAATGGAGGATATTGAGTTCAGAACCACACTTTTAAGGTCTCTCAAGAACTGTCTAGAAGCCGCCGATAAAGTTATTGAGATCCTCAAGAAATCTAATGAGACCCTCAATGTTGTGATAAAGAACCAACTAAAAATTAAGCATACACGGACTGAAATAACGAATATTATACAGACTCCCAACAGCAGACCAGAGGAGCGCAAGAATCAAGGCAAAGATTTGAAATGCGAAGAAGCAAAAAACACCCAACCAGAAAAGCAAAATGAAAAAAGAATCCGAAAATACGAGGATAGTGTAAGGAGCCTCTGGGACAGCTTCAAGCATATCAACATCAGAATTATGAGGGTGCCAGAAGATGAGAGAGACCAAGATATTGAAAACCTATTTGAAGAAATAATGACAGAAAACTTCCCCTACCTAGTGAAAGAAATGGACTTACAAGTCCAGGAAGTGCAGAGAACTCCAAACAAAAGGAATCCAAAGAGGACCACACCAAGACACATCATAATTAAAATGCCAAGAGCAAAAGACAAAGAGAGAATCTTAAAAGCAGCAGGAGAAGGAAACTCAGTTACCTACAAGGGAATACCCATACGACTGTCAGCTGATTTCTGAACAGAGACTTTGCAGGCCAGAAGGGAGTGGCAAGAAATATTCAAAGTGATGAATGCCAAGAACCTGCAACCAAGATTACTTTATCCAGCAAAGCTATCATTCAGAATTGAAGGTCAGATAAAGAGCTTCACAGATAGGGAAAAGCTAAAGGAGTTCATCACCACCAAACCAGTATTATATGAAGTGCTGAAGGGTATCCTTTAAGAAGAGGAAGAAGAAGAAAAAGGTAAAGATACTAATTATGAACAACAAATATGCATCTATCAACAAGTGAATCTAAGAATCAAGTGAATAAATAATCTGAACAGAAAAAAAAGTGAAGAATTACTTTTGAAGCATCTGAAAATTCTGTTATTTGATGTTCATAAGAAATAGTTAACTTTAAAGGTATACTATGGTTAGGGCGGAAATGTCCTTTTCTTTAGAGAATAATTTTGAAGTGCATAGGGATGAAGGAACGTGAAGTCTGGGGTTTGCATTTAAGTTCTTTGGAGAATGAAAATAGATGAAAAGAAGGGAAGGAAGGAGAGAGAAAGCGAATGTGGCCACTCCGCGGTAGCTGTTGAGTCTGGTAGTGGAAGGGGGATTCCTTCCGCTGTTCTGCTCTTGCACATGTGGGGACTTGCACGTGGCGGAGAGGTGTTAGGGCCACGCCGTGGAAGGTCAGGCCGGTTGTTTTTAGTGGGCGTTTGAGAGGGAGCTGTGAGAGTCCCAGCAACTCTCATTTCCACACAGTAGGTGTCTAGCATTGATTATTTACCCAGTACTAATTGAAATCCAGATTCAGTAAGACAGGTAGACAGTGGGTTTTTTTGGAATTTTTTTTAATGAAAGTTCCTTAACCAATGAATGAGCCCAATTTGGACATAGAAGCCAATGGCCACTTTCTGCCCAGAATGACCTTTGCCTTGGAACTATTTCATAGAGCATCCTGATAACACTGCACCCCCATAAGCGGCTCTCATGGATTCCCAAAGCTATGCAACCGGGAATTTCACACTTGCGAGACTTCGGGGTACACACGGATGTTGGGGGGCAGCTGGAAAGAGATGGTCAGCAGCCCACTCAACAGCATGAGGAAGGCAGCCAGAACCGCCACGGGCACGGTGCTGCCCATCTCCTGCCGGTCCGGCCTGAAGGGGATGTGGAAGGAAGGCGGGAAGCGTATGCCCTCTTCATTCATCACGGAGTGGTAGTTCCAGATCACAGCAATGAGGATAAATGCACCCGCTATGATGCTCAGGACTCCGGAAGCGCAGAACAGATTGCTGGTGGTGTTCTTCTGCAGCTGTCCCGCGTACACTCTCAGCAGGCCCGTGACCGTGAGCACTTTCCCCAGGAGCCCGAGCAGGCTGGCGGCCAGCAGCAGGTTCTGAGCGATGCGGATGTCGAGCGGCAGGTCGGTGTCACTGTAGCTGTAGCGGTGACAGGCTATGACTCTGCCGGGGAGTCTGTTGGGCTGGTATGTGCAGACCTTCCACATTCCAATGCAGGCCAGCCCCCGGGACGGGGCGGAGCTGCTCTCCATGTACCATACCCGCCACTCGGCCAGGCCCATGCAGGTCATGGATAAGATGAATCCCAGAATGTTAAGGGCGAAACTCGCTGCCTGGCAATTGGCATTTTTAAACATGGCCATGGCTGTTTCCAGGGGATCTGCAAACCAATAGAGGGCGTCATGAGGTGGGACCCACGGCCTGAATGGCCCCCCAGGGGTGAGCGGCGCTATATTGGAGAGGGAGATGCCATATTCCAGAATGGAGACACTTGACCCCCATGCTCGGCTGGCGAAGGGTCCGTGGGCAACATTTACTGAAAGCTTCAAATATTCAGACTTTCACCCTGGCAGGGTTCGCTAAGTGGTTAGAGCGTCTTCCCAATAGGCCAAGGTTGCGGCCTCAATCCCTGCTCAGGGCACATGCAAGAATCAACCAATGAATCCATCAGTCAGTGGAACAGCAAATCGATGTTTCTCTCTCGCCCTCTCTCTCTGTCTCTAAAGTCAATCAAAATATGTACAGACCTTCTAACAGGCAGTTCCACTCCTGGACATTTGTTGAAAGACACAATTAAGATTGGCTACAGCCCAGCCAGAGTGGTTGAGCGTCACCCTATGAATCAGGTCAGGGTTCGATTCCTAGTCAGGGCACATGCCCGGGTTGTGGGCTTGATCCCCAGTGTGAGGCGTGCAGGAGGCAGCAGATCCATGATTCTCTCTCATCATTGAGGTTTCTATCTCTCCCTCCCCCTTCCTCTCTGAAATCAATAAAAATATATTTTTTTGCCTGCTCCCAAGAGTCAGGAATGCCAGCTCCGGATTTATACCCCGAAGAAGGGAAAGCAGGGACGCTAGCAGATAGTTGCGCCCCCATGTTCATAGCAGCGTTCTTCACCACAGCCAGGAGGTGGAAACACCCCAATATTCATCATGGGTGAGTACACAGTCAGCATGTGGGCCGCCCATACCGTGGGATATCATCCAGCCTTGAGGACATTCTATTGAGTGAAACAAGCCAGCAACACAAAGACAAACCTGCATCATTTCACCTCTATGTGGCCCCTAGAGCAGCCACACTCAGCGACAGAAAGCCACTGTGGGAGCCAGGGGCTGGGGAGCAGAGGGGATGTAGTGGTCAATGGCACAGTTTCCGTTTGGGGAGGTGCAAAAGTTCTGGAGATGATGGTGGTGATGGTAGCACAACATTGTGAAGGTGCCTAGTGACACTGCACTGTACGCTTAAAAAAGGTGACCGTTCAGTCTGATCAAATCATTGGATTGAAACCTGTCCCCTGGGATCTGCCCTTTAGGACACTTCACAACAGGCCTTCCCTCCCGCTTATACCACATCCCACTGGTAAGACCACATCCCACTGGTAAGACCATTATCTTTCTCATCTGGACCTTCCCAGGACATGGACCCTTTAAAGCCTAGAGTCCTTTAACTCTCTGACTGCCTGTCGCTAGGGATGGTGCCATTTGGGGCTCAGCCCATGGGGTCTCCAGGTGACCCAATACATTCATGATCCCTCACCCCTTTTGGCCTTGTGTGTTCCTCATTGGGCAATCCTGACAGTGACATGATAATTGTTGAGTTATTCCCACTTTACCCCCGCGAAATAAAACCAACAGCCTGGGCCCCACTGACCAGGGATGTGTCTCCTAGGGAGTGAGTGTCTAGGAACGGCGACTAGCAGGTCAGGCAGCGCTGCCGACACACACGGGGCTCCTCTGGGCGTCCTCTGGCTCCTCTGGGCGTCCTCCGGCCGGCTCCTGGCTATGCGGGACCAGCCACACGGGCCTCAGCCACATGGGCCTCAGCCACACGAGGGCCTGACACACGACTCCAAGCCCTCTCCTCAGCCTCCAGTCCACGGCCACATTCCACCCCCGTTGTCCTGGCCAGCAGAGTTCTGTTGCCGGGTGCGGAACACATGCCAGCATCCAATCCCCACTGACCACCAGGCTTTCTCTGTTCCTCATCAGGCACCCTCCCTACCCGCTTCCTGGGCGGGCTGCACTCAATGCGGACCATCGAGTCCTCAAGGTCTGACAGCAGCCGGGTGTCCTAACCACTCCCTCTCCCTTCCCCCGGAAATGGTCTCTCCCACACCACCCGATGAAATGACCGTGCAAACAGCAATGACACCGGATAGCATGGCTCAGTGCATAGAGCGTCGGCCTGCGGACCGAAGGGTCCCGGGTTCGATTCCCTTCAAGGGCATGTACTTGGTTGTAGGCTCCTCCCCAGCCCAGTCCCTGGTCGCGGCTCATGCAGGAGGCAACCAATTGATGTGTTTGTCTCATATTGACGTTTCTCTGTGTGTGTCCCTCTCTCTTCCACTCTCCCTAAAATCAGTGGAAAAATATCCTCCGGTGAGGATTCAAATAAGCAAACAGCAATGAGAACACATTCACGCAGGCGCCAGCAGCAGTGCCCCCGCACGGGCGAGGTTGCTATCAAAGCCCAGTGATAGCCAGCACGTTAGGGAGGCCCCTTGAGCTGCAGGCAATGGCCTTCCCGCTGCACCTCGGGTGACAGCATCATGAACGTGGCGCCCATGAGCAAGATGCAGTGGAAGGTGAAGGTCACTCCTGACTGGGAGAAGCTGGCCTGCTAAGGGGGAGCTTGTCAGATGGGGCTGCTGTGAGGAATGAAGCTGCCAAAAGGCCAATGGGAATGGGGGGGGCGGTCCTGCCGGCCCACACTTAGGACCAAATTTTATGTGGGAGTCAAGTTCTGCAGGAACCTCTGCTTAGTTCCTGTGAGAAGGAACTTATTCCAGCAAGTGGGCATGTGTGCAAGGATGCGCACAGGAACACACCAAATGGACTTCATACCTGAGGTACCACGGGACAAGTGAAATCATCCCATTACCCCATGTAGAGAACACAGTCAGTAAGCCATTGTGTCCTTCAGTGGACTATTCCACAGAAATCCAACCTTACGCTGAAGAATAATTGGGGGGGGGGGGGGGGAGTTCCCAATGTTAAGTAAAAAGCAGGTTTCAAAAAAATGTGGCTCAGTGGTTGAGCGTGGACCTAGGAGCCAGAAAGTTGAGGTTTGATTCCCGGTTAGGGCACGTGACCAGTTCCTCAGTGGTTACAGCATCGGCCTGAGAACAGAAGGGTCATGAGTTCGATTCCCCATCCAGGGCACATACCTGGGTTGTAGGCTCAATTCCTGGTCCCTGTTAGTCAGTGCAACCAATCGATGTGTTTCTCTTACATCAATGTTTCTCTCTCTCCCTCCCCCGCTTCCCCTCTCTCCACAAATCAATGGAAAAAATATCCCCGGGAGAGGATTCACAAAGAATGAAAACAAAAGTTGTGATAAAATAGGTAAATCAAAGACAGGCTCCATGCACTCAAAGACACTATTTTATTTCATCAAAGTCAGGCAGGATGATCTGTTGAGAGGTAAGTGGTCAGCTTTGAGCATGAATCCGCACACATTTCCACAGTGAACTGCAGGCGATAGCCTGGCTAAAGTCGCGCGATTCAGGGGATTCCACGGCTGAGCTTCCCAGAGCGTCCGGAACAGCCACCACCCGCGCAGAGGGCAGACGTTAGCACCAGATTGTTATTATCTGCACTGATGTCACTATATACAAAGGTATGTACACGGACTCCTGGATCTTTGGGTCCCGCCAAGCAGACACTGAAGAGGCAGGCGGGGACTGGACAGGACGGTGTGGGCACAGGGGCTTCGCTAAAAGGGGAATTGCACTACATATTCCCACGGAGAAGGAAGTCCTCAAAGACATCAAAAGGCCGGCACAGACACAACACTTTCTAGATTCACATTTACATACATAGCATCACAACGGCCACAACACTGTATCGGAGGGGCAAGCATCACAGGTAAAAGCTTTGTCTAAATTAAAAAGCAAACACACGGAATGGCCGTGGTCCCCCCGAGGGAGGACCACGGGGGCCCGCGAGCAGCCAGCCGGACCTTCTCCGACGTGGTCACTTTTCACCGCAAGTGCTAGGATTCCCACGTCACAGCTTAACTAACAGCAGTGAACACGCCTGGAAAGCGGCCAAAAGGAGCGGTGACGCCTGCGCGCCTGAAGCTGGCCCGTGCGGACCCTCCACCGCGGCCCGGGAGCCTGGCTCGCCGCCTCCGGCTCAGGAAGCGTGGACCGTGGTCCTAAGACACTGGTGGGTGTGTGGTTTGGTTAGGTGGCAGTCACTGCTGACAGAGAGGTCTCCCCACCCGCTGGAAAACTTCTTGTATAGGGAATAAGGGGAAACGGGATTCAAATAACCCCTCCATCCAACAAGTGTCCATGCTACCCTGACATGAACTCATCCAAGGGGTTCCCCACCATTAAGCAGGCGCTGCATCAGCTGAGCATCTGAGAAGAAACATACCGGCTCCACAGTGATTTAGGTAAAAATAAGTTACCATCCAGCCATTGGCGGTTGACCATCTTTCTCCTTGCTTACTTGCCATGCATATGTCCTCTTTGGTGAAATCTTTTGCCCCTGTTTCAGCTGGGCTGTTGGTTTTCTTGTGGTTGAGTTGTACAGAATTCTTTATATATTCTGGAGATGATTCCTTTGTCACATATGTGATTTGCAGACCATTTCTCCCAGCCTGACTTGTCAACTGCAAATTGACACCATGACAGTGTTTGTTTTTTAAGTGAATAGACTCTTCAGAATCTTGCAATGTCAACCAATAAAAAGGGCCCGGGATCCGTTCACTCTGTGGCAAAGTTGCAGAGGGACCCCCAGAAGTCCGGAGGCGGGCTCTTAGGAAACGGAAGGGGCCTTCAGGGCATGCTGACAGGTTGAAAGAGGCAAAAAGAGAAAAGTGGCCAATTACCATTAATGACCATATGGGCACGACACAAATGCTCTGGGGAGAGAGTAATTTAGGAACGATCCACTGGTCTCGGGAAACACCTAGCAAGCACAGGACTACCGCACACACCCTTTACCAGGCATTTCACGTTGCGGGAACACGCCTGACCCGCGCCGCCGGCTGGGACGGACTGAAGCTGTCCGCTTGGTGCGGGGTTTGAAGGCATGCACATGACTCGAGCGGCGCTTTTAGCATGAGCGACCCAACACACAGGCTATGCATTTCACAGTTGGTTTCTAACCACTTGGAAACTACTATGTTAATAAATTATCACCGTCTTCATCATCATCACAGGTTTGTGCTGGGTCAGAGAGCACATTATATGAGACAGTGAACGCTAACAGCATGGGACGGACACGCATAAAACGTGGCAGGCCACGCCCCTCGTGGATCAAAGGAGAAAACGTGCGCCAGGTGGCCCCTCCTGTGCACTGTGGGCACTCGCTGAGCGCTGCCCAAGCGGCTGGTTTGGCAGCGGAAGACACAGGAAGCCAGAGCGACCGCCGCCAAGGGGCCCTCGCGTGCAGCACGGGACAGAGCCTGTGGTCTCCGTGGCAGAAGCTCGCCAGCCAGCAGGGCCCGTGCCCCGTGGGGCTCCTTGTAAAGGACAACACCCCACGGGGAGCCGCTCTGCTCAGCATCCACAGGGAAGCTAGACGCCCAATGCATCACCCCAGACAAACACGAGTTATCGCTTTTCTAACAGCCACGTCACTACGAGAGGGTTCTCACTACGGGACATCCATCCAGGCTGGGGCCCGCTGCCCGGGGCGGGGCGCAGGCCGGCTCCGCCCCCAGGAGGCCGCTCATTTGTTCCTCTCGGGCTGCAGGCTGTCCACCAGGCACTTGAGCTGCTCCTCGCCCAGGTGGATCTTGTCCTCCAGCTCCCGCTGCTCGATGATGAGGGCCGACTTCATCTTGACGAAGTACTCGTAGTCGGCCAGGCTCTCGTCGCTCAGGTAGCTGGCCAGGATGTCGAACACCACGCGCTCCCGGCGGTCCAGGTTCTCCTTGAGCTCCTTGGCGTCCTCGTGTTGCTGAACGAGGACCCGCTGCTTCTCGAGCAATGATTGCTGTGGAGAGGTTGGGGGGGGGGGGAGAAAGAGAGAGAGAGAGAGAGAGAGAGAGAGAGAGAGAGAGAGAGAAGCCAGTGAGGATCAGGGCGGAAGCGATGCAGCCCTGATAGGACAGCACTGAGTCCTGAGAGTGTGGGCGCAAGCACTCGTGGCTGTGGCACACCCCACCCCCGTCGGTGTGAGGGCATCTCCCACCTCCAGCGCCGCGCATGGGCCTGGACTGCTAACAGAGGCAGCCAAGGTGACCCCAGCGTGACCAAGGGACTGAAAGCGACAGAATGCTGGGCTGCTCAAAAGGTGCCAAGGCCCAGCCAGCATGGCTTAGTGGTTGAGCGTTGACCCCATGATCCAGGAGGTCAGGGTTCGATTCCCGGTCAGGGCACATGCCCGGGTTGCAGGCTCGATCCCCAGTGTGGGGCGTGCGGGGTGAGGCTGCACTTTGCAAAAACGCCGACACACAGAAGAGCTCAGAGACGAGGAACTGAGCTTCAGCGCGGCTGCAAACAGCCTGCTCCTAGCGTGCGGCGTGGGGAAGCGCCCACCGCGGGCCAGCGCACCTCGCCCGCCTCGCTGGGCCACCAGCCCCAGGCGCTTGCCAAACAAAGCCACCATGCACTCGGGTGGAAAGAGGCAAGGCAAAGCCAGTGGGTTCCAAACCGAAAGGGAAGCGAATCGTAACCGATTCTATACATTTGGTTCAGGCTCAAAGCAGTCGGGCTCAAAGCTGCTGAGATGGGGGCAGGACCCCGTCTCTGTTTGCGTGTTCATTTTCTACCTGGAAACATGAAGGCGCCTTCTACAACCTGGCGCCTCGCCTTTTACCGCATTAGCGTGTCTGCCTCTGAAAGCCTGGGCTTCCCCATGCCTGACACGAGGTTCTCACCCACCACCAGCTACGCTGAGACCTGGTCATGGAGCGGCGCCGGATGAGGGGAGGAGAGCCCTAGCCGGTGTGGCTCAATGGATAGAGCGTCGGCCTGCAGACCAAAGAGTCCGGGTTCAATTCCAGTCAAGGGCACGTACCTCAGTTGCAGGCTCCTCCCCGGCCCGGGCCCTGGTCAGGGCTCATCCAGGAGGCAACCAATCCATGTGTTTCTCTCACATCAATGTTTCTCTCTGTCTTTCCCTCTCTCTTCCGCTCTCCCTAAAAATCAATGGAAAAATATCCTCGGGCGAGGGTTTTAAAAGAATAAATAAATTTAAAAAAAAGAACGAGGAGGGGGAACTGCCTCAGCCATGCACAGCCGAGGGGTAACGGCCCCCCCCCCTCCGCACCTCTCTAAGGGGCCTCGGGATGCTGGGCGCGGTGCAGCCTGGTCCCCAGGAGGGCCACGCCATCCCTCCGTTACGCAAGGAGACCGCCTCCCGCACTCAATAGCATCTTGCAGCACGAGGTGGACAGGCGCTGTGTGAGCCTTCGAGGCATTCACTCAACTCCCCAAGGAGCACCTGCCTGCGGGTCCTCCCCCAGCCCCCAGCCCCCAGATTTCCAGGTCGCATGCGTCCTACATACCCGATCACCAGGAGAAGCGCTGTCATCCAAGTTGTTGAGGGCATTTTCCACGCGGGCCAGGCGCCCCGACAGGGACAGCAGGAGGTTCACCACCTTGTCCAGGTCCCCGATGAACATGCGGAACTTGTCGAACTCGTTCGGCTTGCACACGTCCTTGACGATGGCCTCTACCTCGTCCCCAAGGGCGCTGTTGGCCTGGATGTCCTCCAGCAGGCTCTCCCGCGCGCCCCGCAGCACCTGCAGCTTGCGGCCGATGCTGTCGATGAGCTCCTGCTGCGGGGCACAGGGCGGCACGCAAACAGGGTCAGGGGTGCGCCACCTGGGCCGCCCGCCGCTGCGGGGGCACCGCGGGGCCTCCGCACACGGAAGTCAGCCCCACCAGGAGCAAGTTCATTTTGCATCATCAAATAATAGAGCAGCCCTGGCCAGTGTGCTCAATGGTTAGGGTATTGGCCTGCGCATCACAGATTTGATTCCCAGTCAAGGGCACATACCTGGGTTGCAGGTTCATTCTCTAGACTCGGTTGGGGCGAGTACAGGAGGCAACCAATTGATGTGTCTCTCTCACATCGGTATTTCTCTCCCCCCTCTCTCTCACCCTCTCTTTTACTCTCTCTAAAAACCAATGAAAAAAAATCAATAAAAAAATATCCTCGTATGAGGATTAACA